TTTCCTTCCTTGAGGTTGTTTTCAAACATTAACTTCTCAGTGAGGCCTTCCTTGATATTCCTTTTAAACACGCACACGCACACGCACACGCACATGCACACGCACACGCACACGCACACACACCATTCTCCCTCATTCCCCTTTTACTTTTTCTTCTTCCACGAGGGAGGCCAACCATCCTGGTTTGTCTGGAGCTTCGGGGTTTCCTGGGACTTGAGACTTTGGGTTGTAAAACTAGGAAAGTCCAGGATGGTTCGTCACCATATGTAAGCACTTGTCACACCGGATATGCTCCACATTTACATATTTCTGCTGTTGATTAGCTCCCCGACTAGAAGCTACACTCCACGAAAGCAGAACTTTTCGTCTGCCTCGCTGACTGCTGCATCCCCAGTACAGCAGCCGCGTTGGGCTCACAGAAGATGCTCGACAGAGACTGTTGAATGAGGGGATGGGCCTGTGGCCAGCCTGGTCCCCAGAGGTGTTCTGGGGCTTTAAAACACCCTCCAGGAGGCAGGCAGCTTCCGGTTGGGAGCAGGCAGAGTGCTGGGCCTAGAAATGGGCAAAGATCTACGACTTGACTGTCCGCCATCCTCAAGGGCAGGAGCTGGCAGCGTCTGGACCTGGTGGAAGTGGCTGAGGGTGTCCGGGCCCAGGCTGGGGCCGCTGCAGGTGGCCTGCTGACCACTGCCACCCCCTAGTGGCTCCTTATGAAAAAGCAGCCTCACCTCCCAGCCAGGGGGCCTAAGAGAGGTGCCTGCCTCCCCTCCTCCACCCACCTCGCCCCTCCTGTCTTCCCCCCTTGGCTTTGCTCTATTGCTCTGCTGCCTGGGAGAGCCTTGATCTGCGTGCACCAGGCTAGCGCCTGGCCCTGGCACCCACCGGCTGTGTGACCCTGAGCCAGGGATGAAACCGCTCCAAGGCTCAGTGTCCCACCAGGAAAATGGGGTGATTACTCCTGAGGGTGAAAGGAGAGCATCCATGTCAGGCTCCCAGCACAGCGCCTGGCCCAGCAGGTGCTGATGATGGTGGTGATGGTGCTGCTGCTGCTGACCATCACACCTGGCACTCGATAGGTGCTCAGCCAGGGGCCTTGCTCTCTCTCCGCCCCATCGGGGAGGCCAGGCTGCACGTGAGACTCCCGTGGGTGCTCCTGAAACACACCTGTGCCTCCCATCCCAGACCAAGGAAGTCAGAAGCCTTTGGTGACGGCTACAGGCGGTGGCATTTCCAATTTTTAGTTTATTGTTATATTTCTAGGGGTCTGTTTGAAAGACCCCAGGTGATACTAACGTGCAGCCCAAGGTGAGAACCACACTGGTGACCAGCCGCCCGGTGACCTCGGACATTCCGGCTTTACCACTGAAAGGCCATGTCCCAGCGCTGGGCAAACCAGGAGGCTCGGTCACCAAATCGGGACACACGGCCTGGGCACCGGTAACTAGAGAGCGACTGGGCTCAGCGTGGGGTGGTGGTCAGAGGCCACGGGGCAGCCGTGGCAGGAGCCAGGCTGAGCGGGAGAGCGGCCGCTGGGCTCAGTCAGACAGGTCCCCGTCCTCGGGGTCGCCGGGCTCCAGCCGCTGGCCGCCCGCTCCATGGCCTTCACCCAGCGGCCCCGCAGCTCCTCGGTGTCGGCCTTGAAGGTGTACAGCTGGCCGGACTGCTGCAGCTGGAAGACTCGGGGGTCCCCCTGGGGCCCCGTGGTCACCTGGTAGCCCAGCAGGGGGATGGAGGTGTGAGCCCGGATGTCCTGGGAGGGAGGAGAGAGCCGTGGGCCGCGGTCCTCCCATGCAGCCCCGCTGCCTCAGACGGTCACACACCTGCCCCACTTCCCACAGACCCGGGAGGGAGGAGGGCTGGCGGGAGGGCATCAGGGGAAGGAGAATTGGCTGCCCCTTGAGGACAAAGCAGTTGTGCCCTGGAGTCTGGGCCCAGCCTTGAAAGCCACTAATCCTGTGGCTCCAGAGAACTATGTCCGCATTGGGCCTCAGTCTCCAAATCTGAGCTATGGGGCCAACAACATCCCCTCCCCCACCCCACATGCTGTGAGAAGGCCCAGGCCTGGGGGCAGGCGGGGGCATTACCTGGGGGGCCGCATAGATGTAGAGCACGAGGGGGTCGTCCCGGGGGATCACACACCAGCCCCGGGTGCTGCTCTTGCCCCACTTGTCCCCGACGAGCTGCAGGAAGCTGCTCATGAGGCTCCGCTCGGCCCCCGCCGCGGACCCTTTCTACAACCAGAGGACAGAGCCCGCTGTGTGACCGCGTCGCTCTGGGAGCTGGACAGTCACTGTTTCCGGTCCTGCAGCCACCCTGCAGGGCAGTTCTTGGTCCCTGAGGCTCAGAGAGGTGCCATCATGGGCCTGTGGTCACCAGCTGGCCAGTGGCAGAGCTGGTCAAACCCTGGTCAGCCTGAACTGGGGCAGGTGCTGGGGGGCTTTTCACCTGAAAGTTCCCCCAGGGAACACAATTAGGGCCTGAGAAGGGGCTGGCCCTCCCCTCTCTCCAGGGGCGGGCTGTGTTGCCTAATGGTCAGCGAGGGCGTGACGGGGGCTGGACCTAGCACAGTGGGGAGGGTTGGAAGGCAAGCAGATGCCCATGGAAAGGAACCAGCTGGAAGCCCGGGAGCTGTGTTCGGCTGGAATAGGCTGGTCTTCTCCCCTCCCAGGGGCAGTGGGATGCCCACTGGCCTCTAGTGAGGGGGGCAGAGGGCACACTGTGCCAGGCCAGGTCACACTGTGTCTGTAGCACGAAGCTGAATCCAGCTGGCGCCCACAGGTGCTGCCCAGCAGCGAGGGAGCAGCTGGGAGGGCCTGGGGGCTGAGCCGCTCAGCCAGGCCCGAGGGCAGCTGCGAGGACGGCTGTGGGGAGGCCATGGCGCTGGCTCCTAACTCACTGGGTGACCGCGGGCAAGTCGCTGCTTGGGGCCTGGGTTCCCATGAGACAGGTCCCTGAGTCCCTTCTGGTTAGAATGGCGTCTCCCATCTGCCTCTTCCCAGCAGTGAGACCCTGACCTGGAGCCTCGGTTTCCCCATCTGTAAAATGGAATCGGTACCCCCGCTCTCTTCATCTGCTGGGGACGTGAACAGGGACTATCGGGAGAGGCTGTGCGGTCACTGGGTGGGGACACAGGGAAGGTGGCAGAGCCTGGGCGACAGCCTGGACCCAAAGCTGCTTTCCTCTGGGGACAGCAGGCTGCTGGGGGAGGGGCAGGAGGGGGTGTCGTGGGCAGAGGGAGGAGGGAGAATGTGGCCAGGCGGGCCTTTCCTCCCCGCCCAGGACAGTGCCCGCGCGTGGCAGCCCCCACAGCCCTTGGCTGCACGGAGGATGGCGCCCTCACCTCCAGGATGCCCCGCCTCTTGTCCTCCTTGTCCTCAGGGAGCACGTGGCCGGTGAGGAAAGTGTAGCAGCGGAGGCAGACGCGGTTGGGCCTGTTGGCGTCATATTTGAGCTCAGCCCGGTAGTCGGAGCACCTGGCGCACACCACCTGAGGGAGGGGGGGGGCGTGGCCTTGGGTGAGGCGGGAGGACCATGTGGTACCTTGGCGGGGAGTGGGGGAGGGGGGGGTGGTTGGGGAGGGGCAGGAGGAAGAAAGGCGAGGCTCAGAGAGGAAGGCAGGCAGAGGGGCATCCCTGCGCGGGCGGAGAGCCTGCTGCCCGCAGCCCGCAGCAGGAGGAGAGCTCAGACTGGGCCTCCCCAGCCGGGGGCTGACGCCGGGTGCCTCTGACGGTGCCCGTGCCCGGCTTCTCCCCCCTCCAGATGCCCTGAGTGCAGGCAGCTGTCAATCCCAGCGCTTCCCTGCACTCCTGCACCTGATTCCCTTCTCCCGGTGCTCTCAGTCCCCTCTGCCACCCCACTCCCGCTCCCAGCAGCCAGGCGGGGCCTCTGTCCTCGCCTCACAGGGAACTCGGTGTAGCCAGAGGGGCGGCCACTTGCCAGGGCCGCACAGCTCACTGGCTGCAACTGGCCCTCTACTAACAGGACATGTCCTTCCCCAGTTTAGATGTAAGATTCATGCAAATTTTGCATTCCGCTCAATCCCAGAAACCAAGCCTGTTCCCGTACAGAAATGACGGCTGGTTGTTTTGCCAGGAAGACCTGCCCTGGTTACTCCACCACGGAGAGGCCCCAAGAAGGCCACGTGGATCAGGCCTGGGGCGACCGGGTGGAAGAGGCATGATGAGGCTCGAAAAAAACTCGGGGTGCTACAGGACGTGACTTCCAGGAAGACTGGGGTGCCACTGTGTGTCCAGGATGTGGGCTTGGAAATGAGGGCAAAAGAGAGAGAGGGGAGGGAGAGGGCTATTCCGCAGTGAGCCCCTGGGTGTGCCCAGCTCAGCGGGGGCCGGAGGGCCCCGCCCTCGCCAGGATTCCCGTCTGGCAGGCGGGAGACAGAAACTGGGCACCCAACCACCGAGAGGATGACTCACGCAGCACAAAGGTATCCCGGGCGGGAGGAACCCTCGCCGGGCCAAGGGCACCTCACATCCGCACACTGGGGGCTTCGACTACCTTGGGAGTATTTTATTTTATTATTGGGATTTAATTGTTAAATGTTATTAGTGTGTATTTCTTTTCTCCTCCTCCAACTTTTCATTTTGAAAAATTTCAAACCTGCAGCCAAGGTGAAAGAATAATTCAATGATACTCCCCCACCACCCATTCCCCAACTGTTAACATTCTTGCCACATCTGCGTTACCTCTCTCTGTATATGTGTGTTTTATTTTTTCTGAACCATTTGAATGTAAATTATAGTCATCGTGACGCCTCACCCTTAATTATGCAGCTGGGATCTCCCAGGAGCTAGAGCACGCTCCTGCCTACACTCACTGCCAGGAGGTTTCACATGGACACAATGTCATTATGTAGGCGCGGCTCCCAGCAAGCCCCGCCCCTCCGTGTCCCAGCAACCACCTCCGGAGCTGCTTCTGTTTCTGATCCAGGATCCAGGATCATACATTTCATTTCGTTGTCAGAATATTTTATTGCTCCCATGTACCTGCCTCCGGGTTGTTATATTATCCTCCGTGCCTGTTTGTACTTCTTAACTACTTTAAATATTTTTTTAGGAACTACTTACTACATCCCAAGTGTGAATGGACTCAAGTCTTATTTACAGACGTGAATCACCGAGAACAGTGGCTAATCCCCGGATCCGGGATGTAACTCTCTTCAGTCTCCACACAGGTGTGTCCCAGTCCTAGACGTTCGCTCTGTGTTCTGATTGCACTTTAACACCATTCGGGGACACCTCCCTGACCCAGCCTGCCCAGCTGGCCTCCGGTCCCCATCCCCAGAGTTCATTAAGACTAAGGTCCGCTTCTCTGTTTGCAGAGAGAAGGGGGGGGGGTGTGGCTGTGATGTCAGCAGAGAGCAGCTCAGTGCGGCAGGTGTCACACAGCCCGGTGAGCTCTGCCTGGAGGGCCAGGCCCCTTCCTCCTGCACCTGTGACTCGCTCCTCTGAGGGGCCTGAGCCCTGGGGGAGGGAGAAAAGGAGGAGGAGAGGGAAGGGGCGCCTTCCTTAGTCCAGGCCTCACTACCGCCCTGGAGGCAGGCATTACCATCCCCACTGCACAGGTGAGGAAGCTGAGGCCGGAGCTGGGCGGGAGAGTTAGCTACAGAACTCAGATGCTGCAGTGCTGAGGGCTTGGAAGGAGCGGAGCGGAGAGGACAGCTAGTGAAGCGAGTCATGAGGAGAGGACGAGGGCGTTGTTACAGGCGTGGGGCTGACGAGGTGGGTGCAAGGCCGGAGAAGGGCTGGGGCTTGCATGCCCCTCCCCCTGACACTGGAGACCATGTCCCGGTGCAGGGTCTGGGGGCCTCGGGAAATGGTAAGGGAGCAGGTGAGTAATAGGGTCACTTTGGGGAGTGTCCTGAGCACATAGTTTAGGGGGAGGATGCGGGTCCTGCTTCACCGGTGGGCGCTGTGAGGTCCAGACAGGCCCCTCCCACGCCTGGCGCAGCTCATGCCAACACCTCTGGGCTGCACTGGTTGGAGCGGGCTAGTTGGCAGGGAGGGGGTGCCGGCAGGGGTGCTGGCAGGGGCACTTACGTAGCCGCAAGCCCGGCAGTGGTGGCGGCGGCGCGTCAGGGCGTTGAAGGGCTCCTGGCAGCGCATGCACATGGTCACCATGTTGTCCCGGACCCACTGTGGCGCCCGCAGGCCCAGCTCCTCCGACTGCAGCTGGGGGCAGCAGGGCGGGCACTTCATCACCCTCTTTTGCCCACTCCGGAGCCCGGGCCCTCCCCACCTGCTTGGCGAGATTCGTGTGGGCTTCCCAGTGCCTCCCCCCGGGAGCGGACTGAACGGGCGAGGCCGCAGGCAGCTCAGTTACTATCGTTCCGTTTCACAGGTGAGCAAACTGAGGCCCAGAGCGGTCTAGTGACTCCACACAGCCCCCCAGCAAGCCAGCGTTCAGAGCTCAGGTCTGAAAGGAGTCACCCTCTCCCTGACCCACCCCTCCTGCCTCCACCTTCCCCGGGGCTTACTTTTCTCAGGTGCTTTTAACCCAAACCTGCACCCCCAGCCCCGCCCAGCCAGGCAGCAAGGCTGAGCCCTCCCTGGGGCTGGGTGCCTGGAGGAGACTGAGCCCTCCCTGGGGCTAGGTGCCTGGAGGAGACTGAGCCCTCCCTGGGCTGGGTGCCTGGAGGAGACTGAGCCCTCCCTGGGCTAGGTGCCTGGAGGAGACTGAGCCCTCCTGGGGTTAGGTGCCTGGAGGAGGCTGAGCCCTCCCTGGGCTAGGTGCCTGGAGGAGACTGAGCCCTCCCTGGGGCTAGGTGCCTGGAGGAGGCTGAGCCCTCCCTGGGGCTGGGTGCCTGGAGGAGGCTGAGCCCTCCCTGAGGCTAGGTGCCTGGAGGAGACTGAGCCCTCCCTGGGGCTAGGTGCCTGGAGGAGGCTGAGCCCTCCCTGGGGCTGGGTGCCTGGAGGAGACTGAGCCCTCCCTGGGGCTGGGTGCCTGGAGGAGACTGAGCCCTCCCTGGGGCTAGGTGCCTGGAGGAGGCTGAGCCCTCCCTGGGGCTAGGTGCCTGGAGGAGGCTGAGCCCTCCCTGGGGCTGGGTGCCTGGAGGAGGCTGAGCCCTCCCTGGGGCTAGGTGCCTGGAGGAGACTGAGCCCTCCCTGAGGCTAGGTGCCTGGAGGAGGCTGAGCCCTCCCTGGGGCTGGGTGCCTGGAGGAGGCTGAGCCCTCCCTGGGGCTGGGTGCCTGGAGGAGGCTGAGCCCTCTCTGGGGCTGGGTGCCTGGAGGAGGCTGAGCCCTCCCTGGGGCTGGGTGCCTGGAGGAGGCTGAGCCCTCCCTGGGGCTGGGTGCCTGGAGGAGGCTGAGCCCTCCCTGGGGCTAGGGGCCTGGAGGAGGCTGAGGCCTCCCTGGGGTTAGGTGCCTGGAGGCTGCCAAGGGGATTGTTTGCTGGTGGGAACGTCTGGCACTGAGTCTCTGACAGGGTGCTGCTGGGGTGGGTGGCTTCCCCGGTCCCTTCAAATCACTCCTGGGTGACACCCCTGCCCTCAGAGCTGCCTGGGGAGGCTGGCGGCTCCAGGCTGGCAGCTCCAGGCTGGCGGCTCCAGGAGGAACACTAAGTCTTCCTTACCTCCTGGCCCTGGGCGGCTCCCTCGGGGCCCTGCACCGCAGCCTTGAAGGTTTCATTCCGCTTCTCGATTTGGTCAATAGCTGCTTGGCAGGCCTGGGGAGGGGGCAAGGGAGTCGTTAAAGGGGGGACAGGGGGGCTTATTCATCGGTCCATCCATCCACACACTCGGCAGACACTGCTGAGAGCTGCTGGGCGCTGGATACTCAGCGCACACGGGCTGACTCCAGGAGAGAAACCATCACCCCCAGACTACAGATGTGAACACTGAGGCGCAGGGGTGTGGACTGACTTGTTCCAGGCCACCCAGCTAGACAGTGAGAGGCAGCAAAATTCTAACTCAGGTGTGACTCCAACTGCCACCGGGCAGCTCCAGAGGAAGAGCAGGGAGCAGCGGGGCACCGCACAAAACCCGCCCGCCCCGCCCCGCCCAGGCATGCGCCTCCCCCCTCCCTCCCCCTCCGCCTGGGTGGTGGGTCAGAATCCCAGGGGCCCTGGGTTGGTCTGATACCTGCATCCAAGAAATCATTTCTTCCTGGGACCTGCTCGGAAAGTGAACACGGTGTTGAGATGGGCCCTCCCACTTCCCCGCCCCCCCCCCACCCCGCCCGCACCCACCCCGCCCACCTGGCCTGCAGCTGCAGGGTGCGCTGCTTCCCGGACACCAGGAAGGAGTGCGGGAACTCGGCGTCCGTCAGCTCGCGCACCTGCTCGGATACAGGGAGGGCGTTCAGACTTGCCCCGCGCCCGCCAGGCACGCTGGGGTGGAGGGATGGGGACTGTGCCCCAGGGGCCATGCCGCCGCCAGGGACAGGGCTGGGAGCTGGCTCATCCCTCCCTGGTCCCTCGGAGCCAAGCGAAGGCCGCTGTGGCTCCTGGAAGTTTAGCAGCAGCTCAGTTGGCCCAAAGTGAGGGAGGGGTGACAGTTCCTGACAAATGACTCACCAGAAATGGAAACTGGGTCACAAATCGGGCTTGGGGACACAGCTTTTGCCAGAGCAGACCTAGGGCCTAGATAAGACCCTCTACCCTAGCGGTTCTTAACCTGTGGGTCGCGACCTCTTTGGGGGTCGAACGACCCTTTCACAGGGGTCGCCTAAGACCACCGGAAAACACATATATAATTACATATTGTTTTTGTGATTAATCACGATGCTTTAATTATGTTCAATTTGTAACAATGAAATTGGGGGTCACCACAACATGAGGAACTGTATTAAAGGGTCGCGGCATTAGGAAGGTTGAGAACCACTGCTCTACCCCATACAGCGAATGAAGGAATTGGTTACCCAACTCATGGATCACGCAGAACCACCTCAAATGGATCCAAGAACCGGGCGATCAACTCCTTGCCTTTCACCATCCTCTTGCCCAGGGTCCCAAGGCCGTTGTGAAAGCCACCAATCAGAGACCTTACTCAGTAAGGCCACGAGTTCAGAGCTCTCCATACACGTTCTCACTCCATCCATGAAACGCTGAACCCACTGAGCACCCTAACACTCAGCCCTTCTGTGCCTCCCGAGGGCAGCGTCACTGTCTCTCTCCAGCTGCAGGCTCCCTGCACAGCTGACTCCGCTTAGGTCTCTGGGTTATCTGCCAGTTTACAAGAAATACGTGAGCCCGTGGGTCATGTTAAATGACACCACAGAGGTGCAGACAGCAACATCCAGGCTATGAGAATCTCCACCAGAGAAATTATCTGATTTTTCAATAAATAAATGAGGAAAAAAGTGGGAAAGGGAAGTGTAATGGATTAAAAGGGACGTAAGAAGCATATCACAAATGATTCAAACAGATCAGCTGTGAGAAGACATGAGATTATCAAGGAAAACCGAAGGATCTTAATATTATTAAATAATTGTTATAAATTTGTCAGAGGCGATAATGGTACTGTTGTCATCTTTTAGGCAAAAAAAAAAAAAAAGTTTTTATCTCTGACAGAGACATACTGAAGTACTTACAGGTGAAATAAGAAGTGGAATGCTGAGCAAACAAGACTGGCCCTGAGTTGGCAATTGCTGAAGCCTGGTGATGAGTATATTTTCTCTCATGATTGATGTTTCTCTCTCTCCCTCTCCCTTCCTCTCTAAAATCAATTAAAAAATATATTTTTAAATGTTCATAATAAAAAGTTAAAATCTTCACAGCAATCTTGGGAGGCAGGTATCATCATCCTCATTTAGGAGATGAGGAAATGGAGACTCAGAGAGGGCAAGAGACCTGCCTGAGGGCACACAGCATCTCACTGACAGAATGAGGATTCAAACTTGGGTTTTTGGCCCCCAAGGATAAAATGGAAGAACAGCTGTTTCCAGCCAACCCCGAGTCCTGTAAGCACGGTCCTCTCCCAGTGTGTGGAGTCACACGGGGGAGCTCCGAGACAGACTTGGACCCCAGGAGCCCTGGCCTGGGGAACTCTGTTGTCATTGAACCCATCTGGCTGGCCCCCTGCCATGTGTGACCTTTCAGGGCGGCTCACCACATCCCAGAGAGCATGGCCCTGGGAACACCCTTCCCCACGCTAGGCCCGGGCTACCCTCCGGGCCCACAGAGCCAGTCGGCCTCCCTGGTAACGGCCTGATGTGATTGGACTGACACTCTGGGCCACCGGGAAGCTCCGAGAGTTTATAAATGGAGACGCTCAGGTGGGAAGGGGTGTTGGGCAGTCACTCTGCAGCTGTGTGTAAGGGACGAAGGGCTGCTTTGGGGGGAAATGGGACAAACCAGTAGTCCCAAAGGCCGGCCAGGGAGGGGTGCCCTGAGTGGTGGAGGCCTGCCTGCACCTGGGGGGCAGGAAGAATTCCTACTGGGGGACAATATCAGGAGACCTGGCCAGACTCCAGGACTAATTGGTGAGGGCGAGGGGAGAGGGCAAAGAAGGGAGAAGCCCACGGTTTGCAGTCCAGAGGTAGGAAGAAATCCGATGCTTTTCATAGAAATGGGCAGCTCCTGACCTGGGGGTCCAGGACCACCTGCCTTTGCCGAGGCAGGATGGAGGCTTCTAGAGGACACCTTCCTGATCCCAGTCTCCACCTCCCCCAAGTCTGGGCTGGGTCAGGCCCCTCTGTGTCAATTAGCACAAGACATGGCTTCCTCAAAACACCTTACTGACATCTGTTGGCAGACGGGCATAATGATCAGGTTTGGTTGGAACAAGATACTTGACTGCCCTCTGCTGGCCAAGGAGGGTGGTGCATACTCCGTCTGTGCGGGTGGCTGTGGATGAGGTGTGCCCCACCGTGCACGCCTTCCCAGCTGTGCATGGAGACCCTGGGGAGTGTCTCACATCCTCCTGCTTCCCGGGCTGGCCCTGGGCAGGAGGGCACAGCGTCAGGACCCAGTCGGACCTCGGGGACAGTCAGCTGCTGAGAGCGGTCCTCCCTGACATCCAGGAGGAGGAGGCCAGGGGCCGTAGGCCAATGGGAGCATCGTGGTGGCTGAAGGCCAGACCTGCCTCCAAACCTCAGGCTCAGAAAATGGTTCCCACGCAGACGCGGGAGGGTGGCCGGCTCTGCGCCTGCCAGGCCTGTGCCATCCAGGAGAGGGTGTGGCTGCTGGAGCACAGAACGCCCTGTGAGGAACTCGCTCTCCGGACTGGCACACGCTGGCCGATGAGCCCGAAGTGTCTGAGTCTCAGCCCCGTCGCTATGTACTTTTTCTGATGACTCTTTTAGTCTCTGTGTTTCTTGGCTTTTCTCTCTGTCGGTCTCTGCCTCTTCTTTTCTATGCCTGGGCTTCTGCCAATCCGAAGACAGGGCTGCCCGTCTCCATTTGTCTGTCTATATAACTCCTCACAAACCTGCCTTTCTCGGTCTCACTCACCAAGGCACCCAGAAATACAAGCCTGCACATGCGCCAGCATTATCCTAATCCAAACCCAGATAAAGACACCACAAAGAAAGAAAATTATAGGCCAGCATCCCTGATGGACATAGATGGGAAAATCCTCAACAAAATATTAGCAAATCGGATCCAGCAATACATTCAAAAGATAACACACCATGACCATATGGGATTTATTCCAGGGATGCAAGGTTGGTGCAATATCAGCAAATTGAAGGATTAAAATCATATGGTCATACCAATAGATATGATCAATAGATATCAATAGATGCAGAAAAAGCATCTGACAAAATTCAGCACCCTTTATGATAAAAACTCAGCAAAGTGGGAACAGAGGGAGCATACTTTAACATAACAAAGGCCATATATGACAAACACATCTAACATCATACTCAATGGGGAGAAGTTAAAAGTGTTTCCCTTAATATCACAACAAGATAGGGATGTATTTTAAAAATATCTTTTCTTTTTAAAAAAATATATTTTATTAACTTCATAGAGGAAAGAAGAGGGAGAGAGGGATAGAAACATCAATGATGAGAGAGAATCATCAATTAGCTGCCTCCTGCACGCCCCCTACTGGGGATGGAGCCCACAAGCTGGCATGTGCCCTCACTGAGAATTGAACCGGGATCTCCTGGTTCATAGGTCGATGTTCAATCACTGAGCCACACCGCTGACCGGGCACCACTTTTTTTTTTGAGAGAGAGAGAGTGAAAGGCAGGAGAGACATCGTGAGCAAGACACATCAATTGGTGAGATAGACACATCAATTGGTTGCCTTCTGCACATGCCCTGACCATCAGAAGCACATGCTCTCAACCAGAATCGAACCCGCAACCCTTCTGTCCAAGGGCCAATGCTCTAGCCAATGAGCCAAACCATTGAGCATGTCAAACTCATGCCTCGAGTTTGACATGCTTGATCTAGGGCAGTGGTTCTCAACCTTCCGGCCCTTTAAATACAGTTCCTGATGTTGTGACCCAACCATAAAATTATTTTCGTTGCTACTTCATAACTGTAATGCTGCTACTGTTATGAATCGTAGTGTAAATATCTGATATGCAGGATGGTCTTAGGCGACCCCTGTGAAAGGGTCGTTCGATCGCCAAAGGGGCCGCGACCCACAGGTTGAGAACTGCTGATCTAGGGCTTTACCACTCTTATTCAACATAGTACTGTAAGTCCTACCTAGCCACTCAATCAGACAAGAAGAGGAATTAAAAGATATCCAAATCGGAAAGAAGTAAAGTTGTCATTATTTGCAGATGACATAATACTGATATATAGAGAGAGAAACCTAAAGATTCCACCAAAAGGCTACTAAAACTGATAAAGGAATCCAGTAAAGGAGCAGGATACAAAATAAATATTCAGAAATTGGTTGCATTTTTATACACCAATAATGAGCTATCAGAAAGGGCAAGCAGGGAAACTAAGAAAACAATCCCATTTACAATTGCATTAAAACGTACCTAAGACTAAATTTAACCAAGGAGGTAAAAGACCTGTACTTGAAACATTATAAAACACTGAAAAAAGAAATTGAAGAAGATATAAATAAATATATTGTGCTCATGGATAGGAAGAATTAACATCATTAAAATGTCCATACTACCTAAATCTATAGATTCAATGAAATTCTTATAAAAATACTAATGGCATACTTCACAGAACTAGAATAAATAATCCAAAAATTTATATGGAACTAAAAAAAGACCCCCAATAGCCACAGCAATCTTGAGAAAGAAGAACAAAGCTGGAGGAACCACACTGACTGAAATCAAACTATACTACAAAGCCATAGTAACCAAAGCAGCATAGTACAAGCATAAAAGCAGACATATAGATCCATGAAGCAGAA